GTATGTATGTATGTATGTATGTATGTATTATATACATAAACTTCGTCACGCAACTGGCTCTGCTTAACAATGTGACCGAGGATTGTATTGTGAAAAACGCGATGTGTGTTCCCCAACCTACGCATTCGTGTGACTAATGTAACTTTAAAGGTGTGTATATAGGACCGCCGATCTTTATTACGCTTACTCTTTCTGTTATTGTTGTGTTTATTTTTTTCTCTCTTCATTGTTTTTCATGATATTTTGTTATCATTATTGGTATCTCTTTTTTCTGCTTATCGTCATTAGTAATAGTAGTAGTAATGTACTCATTATCATTAGTATTATTATTACAGGAGAGAGAGAGAGAGAGAGAGGGGGGGGAGAGAGAAAGAGAAATAGAAGGAAAAAGAGAATGAGAGAAAGAGAGAGAGAGAGAGAGAGAGAGAGAGAGAGAGAGAGAGAGAGAGAGAGAGAGAGAGAGAGAGAGAGAGAGAGAGAGAGAGAGAGAGAGAGAGAAAATTAGAATGAGAAAGACAGAGAAGGAGAAAGAAATGAGCAAACAAGAAAGGATTAAGAAAAATGACTGCATGCCTAAGGCAAAAACCGTCAATATTTGTTTTTCACGAATTTCGGGAAAGAAAGCATTTTCATTATCATTGCCTTTAGATGTGTATTGACTTTAAGTGTAGTAATTATATGATAATAATAATTGCTTTCTAAATAGGAGATCAAGAGATAAAAATCATAGTAATAATCAAGATAATAATTTAGACACATTTCCTAACAATGAAAATGTTTTAAGGAACGCCGGTAACAAAAAATAAATAAATAAATAAATAAATAATCGCAGCAAAGGTGTTTCTTCGACAACCATAAATTTCTCGTCGTTGAGTCCGACGACCCGTGATATTGCGAAGAAGGAGAAGGAATTAAGAAGGAAGAATGAAGGAAGGATGCAAGAGAACAAGGTAATCTATTTCTCTCGGAAATTTATTCAAGATCATCCATTTTTTGTGTCTTTTTTTTGGTTTGTTTGTTTATCTTGGGCCGTTTTCTTGAAGTTGAGAAGTTAGGCATCAATTTTCGTGTACATCCGGCGTGTGGACGTATTTTGCTTGAGTGCATGACTGTTTTTTATCATTAATATCATCTTTTTGCTATTGTTGTTGTTGTTGTTGTTTTGCTGTTGTTTTGTTGTTGTTGTTGCTGTTGTTGTTGTTTTGCTGTTCTTTTGTTGTTGTTGTTGTTGTTGTTTCGCTGTTGTTTTGTTGTTGTTGCTGTTGTTGTTGTTAAAATATTCGACTCAGCTTCTTTGTTATTATTATCATCATCATTATTATTATCAGTAATTTACTAGTTTATAGTCTCATCAGTCTTATCATCTTCTTTATCATTAATATCCCCATTCACGTTGTTACCGATATTCCTCCTGATCTTATCACGTTTATTATCATCATCCTTATCAATTGTTTCTCATGATTTTTTTTATCATTATTATCACCAAATCCCTAGAGACCTGAGTGAATGTTCGTCAGGGCATGATCATACAAAATAGAAAAAATAAAAAATTAAACAACACCTTGAACAGAATACATAGACAAATGAATAAACCGATCAATAAAGCATAAACACGATTTTTTTTTTTTTTTTAAGGAGAAAACGAGCAAAAAAAAAGAAAAAAAAGTGTACTTACGTGAACTCGTTTCCTGTGAGGACTTCGCCCCGTCGTTTGACCTTCTCTAGCCGGTCCTCCAGCTCCTTGACCTTATGGCCGAGGTCAGTCTCGCTCTGCCGCAGCGCCTTGACCTGGGGAAGGGGGGGGGAGACGGGAATTTTGTGAAGTTGGTTGTTGGTATCTATTTATGTATTGTTTTGTAGGTCATTTTTTTATTAGCATATAGATAGATAGATTGATATAGATATATATATATACACATTTTATTTTAGGGGGGAGGTGGGGGGGTGGGGTTGTGTGTGTGTGTGTGTGTGTGTGTGTGTGTGTGTGTGTGTGTGTGTGTGTGTGTGTGTGTGTGTGTGTGTGTGTGTGTGTGTGTGTGTGTGTGATCTATTCTTTCTCTCTTTCCATATCCCCCCCCCAACGTCCTCCTTTACCCTCTCGTCACCATCTGCCTTCCCTCTCTTTCCTCTCCTTTCTCCTTCCATTTTCTCCTCACCATCCCTTTCCCCTCTCTTTCCCCCCTTCCCCCCTCTCCTTTCCCTTCGCTATCCCTCCCCTCTCTCCCCCACTTCCCCTTTTCCTCTCACCCCCTTTCCCCTCTCCCTCTCCTCCCCCTCTTCCCTCCCCTTTCCTTCCCTTTCCCCTCTCCCCCTCACTCCCTTTCCCTTTGCCTATCCCTCTCCCTTCTCCTTTCACTTTCCCCTCTCTCTCCATTATTCACCTCTCCCTTTCCCCTTGCCCATCCCTCTTACCTCTTTTTTCCCCTTTCCCTTTCCCTCTTTTTCCCCCTTTCCCCTTTCCCCTTTCCTTCCCCTTTCCCCTTTCCTCCCCCTTCCCCCT